GTAAATGGTGTCAATTATTTCCCTTACTCTACACCCCAATCCTTTAAGTTATTAGCATAGAAGAGGGAACTAAAGCCTATCCCTATTAAACTTTTTGCTTAATATCACTTTAGATAGCAAGAATAATTAAAACTTGGGTTATCTAACAAAGTCTAGAATTGTTCCATATTATTAATACTCTCCCTTGAAAGCAATTTTCAATAGACTTTAATGATAAAAGCACTTCAAGTTTCCTGATAACTTAAGCACATTTTTGTATGTGTTTGAAAACTTATCATAAATGAAACATTTTTTAAAATTGGTCCTCCATCCTCCTGCAACCAGGCATGTGGCTGCTGCCATGGGGCCTGGCCGGGGTCCTGAGGTCTGCAGCCAGGGACTAACCCCTCCTACCACCAAAAACACCACTTCCAGGTAGGTGGCCTCCCACAGCCATCATAATAGCCACAGCTGCCGCAAAAGCAGCTAGATGCCACAACCACCATGCAGATGGCCCGCTAGCCACTTGAGCGCACTGACACAAGGAGAGCCACCAGTAGACACCAGAGAAAAGAACAGGATGTCTCTTTCCACAAAACCCATTCCAGAGTGACAGAAGAAGCATCTGCTCTACAATAATAGTGGGAGACCTGAACACACCTCTCAGCATTGGACAGATCATGTAGGCAACAAATCAACAGAGTAACCATTACCCTTTCAGAAGAAGAAAAGAAATCTAGGGTTATCAAAGGTGAGAGGCGGGAGGGAGAGGGGAGTAGGGAGAGATTGGATAAGGGGCACAAAGAATAAATATGATTTGTAATATATATGCTAATAATATTGATTTGATCATCATACATTAACAATGAACCCCCAAAATATGTATGATCAATTATGATTCAATAAAAAAAAAATTGGTCCTTCATCCAAACCTCCACACGGTTATTATCACACCTCATCACTGGGGAAAAAAATACTTAGTCGCTGGCAGATCCAAAATGAGCTCACCTATATCAACATACCTAAGATCTCACAGTCCTTGATGTCTTTACCCACACATTAAGGAGGAAACAGAATGCAATCCTACTGTACTCAGTAGGTCATACATGGAAGATAACCAACTTTCCAAAATAGCTCTGAGTTTTCCCTAAGAAAAAGAAATAAGAAAAAAAGTAATCTTTTCATGTATTCCAAAGGTATGATGTGTACCAAACAATTTTGATAACAGCTTAAAATCAACTAAAATATCTGCAATAGTTATCCATACTAGGGGCCAGCAAATTTCTCTGTGAAGGGCCAGAAAGTAAATATTTTAGGTTTGCAGACCATATGGTCTCTTATCAAAACTACACAGCTGGGGCTGGCCCGGTGGCGCACTGCTACAGTGCGCTGCTTGAGAGTGCGGTGGCGCTCCCGCCGAGGGTTCGGATCCCACATACAGACCGGTTCCCGCTCACTGGCTGAACGAGGTGCGGGCGCAACGCCGAGGGCTGCGATCCCGTTGCCGGTCCCAGTCCGGTACGGGTGCGACACTGAGGGTTGCAATCCATTGCCGGACACGAGAAAAGACAGGAAAAAAAAAAAAAACTACACAGCTACTTAACTCTGCAGCTGTCACAAAAATAAGGAGCCACAGACAACACATAAATGAATGGGTATGCTGGGTTCCAATAATACTTTACAATACAGATGGAGGGCTGGATCAGGCCGGAGGGCTGAGGTTTGCAGACCCCTGATCCACACTATCTTGAGCCCATTTCCTAACAGAGATGAAAAAAATGAAAGGCTACAGAATGAGATAACTAGAAAACAAAAATACATTTTCTTTATTCTTCAGCTAACCCCAAAACGTTTAGTAAAATTAGATTTTTTAAAATCAATGTTAATTATTAGTGTTTTTAGGTGTGCTAAAGGCATGATAATGTTTTTTTAAAAGCCCTTTTCTTTTAGCATGCATACCAAAATATTTACTGATGAAATAATATGATACCTGGATCTACTTCAACATAATTCAGGGGAGGGAATGGGAGGTAAGGGGTATAGATAAAACAAAACTGGCATGAATAATAATTGAAATGGGGCGATGGGTACATGGATTTCATTATATTATTGTCTCTGCTACTGTAAATGTTTAAAATTTCCAATAATAAAAAAGTCAATGAAAACAAATCATTTTAAAAACAAGCTAGCAGGGCTGCCCAGTAAGTCAGTTGGTTAGAGCATGGTGTTGCAACATCAAGGTCAAAGGTTCAGATCCCCATACCAGCTAGATGCCAAAAAAATAAAATAAAAATAAAAACAAGCTAACAAATGAATCACAAATTTAAGTACCTTTCCAAAATTAACTATTTTCTCACCTTAGGCACTACTGACAATTAAGGCCAGATAGTTCTTTGTTATGAGAGCTGTTGTGAGCACTACGGGGATGTTTAGCAGCATCCTTAGCTTCTACCCTCTAGATGTCAGTGGTACCCCCAACCCACCCAGTTGTAACAATCAGAGATGTCTCCAGACATTTCCAAATGTCCACTGTGGGACAAAAATGCCCCTAGTTGAGAATCACTGTTTTAAACAAACTATACTGCTGTTTAATAGATGACTTTAATTCTTATATCCTACAAAAATGAGACCTCGATGACTTTTTGTTTTAGTCTTTGGGCATGAGTTGTATTTATATTTTAGCCCAGTTTTTACATGTAGTTTTTACTTTACCTATTGGAAAACTGCCATTAATTTAACCTAATGTGTAAATATTTCTTTTTCACACTTCTACAAATTACATCTGCCTACAATGGTTTTTAAAACAGAAAATGCACAGAACTGAAATCCAAACAAGCAGTATGTTAAAGTCCCCAGCTCCTCACTGCTCTAGTTAACAGACATAGTTTGCAAACTGAAAGGTAAGTTACTCACAAATACCTAGCCTACTGAGTCTCACTCCAACTCCAATCTTACCATGGTTATTAGAGTTCAATTAAGGAAAAAACTAAAGACAATCTACTCTTGAAAAACAGTGCCAACTTCATTCCCATATCCAGAGTGTACACACATTTTGCACAGCCTCTCATATGAACAAAAATCTCCAGGGCCGGCCCGGTGGCGCACTGGAGAATGCGCCACTTGGGAGTGGGCGGCGCTCCCGCTGAGGGTTCTGATCCCATGTGGAGACCGGTTCCCGCTCACTGGCTGAGCGCAGTGCGGGCACAACACCAAGGGTTGCGATCCCGTTACCGGTCAGTAAAAAAGACAAAAAAAGGAAAAAAAAAAAAAAAAACATCTCCAGACACAAAAATATATGGATAGTCTCATGATGCCAGATCAGTGATTAAATTCTGAATCACAAAGTATATTTTTTAAAAACTTAAGCAAAAAGAAATTTGATTTTTCAGCCTCTCGCCTTACTATCTAAAACCAGAAGGGCTTTGGTTTTTTAGTTGTTGCTGCTATCTATTGCAGTTTCTAGAATCATTAAATTAAAAAATTAGATATTCGGGCCGGCCCGGTGGCGCACTGGAGAGTGCGCCGCTTGGGAGCGCGGCGGCGCTCCCGCCGAGGGTTCAGATCCCATGTGGAGACCGGTTCCCGCTCACTGGCTGAGCGCGGTGCGGGTGCAACACCGAGGGTTGCGATCCCGTTGCCGGTCCCCGGTACAGGTGCAACACCGAGGGTTGCGATCCCGTTACCGGTCAGTAAAAAAGACAAAAAAGGAAAAAAAAAAAAAATTAGATATTCAACTAAGGGAATTTCATTCCATCCCCCAAATCAAACTAAAACAATAACAAAATTAAGTAATTGCCTTCCGTTACAAAAACTAACATCAACTTAAGCCTTTATTTTATTACCAAAAAAAACTATAACACACATTGAGTTCCTAAATTCACAATCAAGAAAGATATAACTTAAAAAACACTACCACAAAAGCAAATTCAAATTATATAATTTCATTCACAAAGATGTTACAGTAATAAAACTATCGTATAATTCATTATGTTTAATGTGCTAATCTAAAATTCAAGTTCTTTCTAGGCAACAGAAAATTCCAACATCAAAGATGATTTATTTACCCCTAAAATATCCAAGCTTTTCAGCAACTGTCCAACAACTGAAAATATATACAATTAGAGAAAAAAGTAACGTGTAAGTCTAGAAAAGACTTCCCTTTTCATATATGTCTTTTGAAAATCTTTAATTAGTAAAAACAGACTGATCCACCAATTAGCCCTCAGCAATGCAAGTCTTTATTAAGCGCCCATAGATGAGAGTACCTTTTGGACAAAACTGCAACATTCTGCCTCATCTAAATTTCCTAGAATTTAGGTTACTCTAAATAATCTTGCACTAGACTAAAACAAATGTAATTCTAATACATGTTTAGTAATACATATCTAGTTAACTAAGACAAAACAAGCCATCCTTCAGACCACACATAAAGATTCCCAACTGAGACTCCACTGATACTAAATACTTGAATATACTCTAAATTAAATTAAGCTCCCCATACCGGCCAACTGCAAAAAATTAAAAAATAAAAGTAAGCATATATACACAGATATAGTGATATGCATGGACTGTAAACTCTTCAAAGATCCACATGAAGGTCAAGAAACAATACTAAACACATGCTAATTCAGTTATGACAAAACGAAAAAACTAAGAAAAGCCTCTTAGTGTCAAAGATCAAGAAAGACCTTTACCCAGATGATCTATATTCCCCTTCCCTAAACTTCCCTAGTACGATTCTGGGAGAACCCAACTAAGCCTCCCAACAGCATGGTGGTTCTACCACATTAGCAAGAAATTCAACTCCTATCTTCACCTAGGGCTATTCCTACAATATTGAGGGATCACAGAAAAACAGGAAATGCTTTAAGTTTTCTTCTGCCAAGTTTCTATTTTCAATCAGAACAGCCTTAAGTGAATATTAAATTTCAAGAATGAAAACAATCACCTCATGGTATAGAAATATTATTTCTAGGACATTAATTTTTACTGAAAATATTTTTCAAGCTTAGTTTAGTTACCTCTGCTTCTACATCCACATTTTGCTTCAAAAGTAACTTCAAAATGTCAACATGTCCATTCTGACTAGCAGCTTGCATAGCTGTGTGGCCAGCACATTGCCCATTCACCTAAATTTAAAAAAAAAAAAGATGAACAAATCAGAAAGAGCCAATATATACAGATAGTATAGGCTTAAATCTAGTACACTGTATGACTCTACGAGAATAATTTAAACTGGTATTCCATATATTGTAGCACAGATCACCAGAAATTCTTTAATGTAGAGAAGAAAGGCAAAGTTTTTTTAAAAAAAACAAAAGTTTCATTATTCAAAGAGACATGAAAAAACTGTTCAGCTAACCTGTTAATCTGAAAGACAAAAGAAAGGGAAAGAAGAAGGAAGGGAGAGAAGAAAATTAAATTAGTTTTGTATATATACTTCTTTTGGGATTATTAAATCTCCGAGTCCGTGGTTCAACGAAAAAAGCACCAAGGTGAATGGAAAACTTTTAGAAAAGGTATTGGCTGCCTCAGTACAAATAAATTTAATTTGACAAATATACCGAATACCAACTATAGGTAATCTACCATGAAGGACACATAAATGAGTTAGCAAAGTAGCTGTATACAACTATTACATTATAAAGCAGTGATTTCCAACGTTTCCTTCACTTCAGATGTTGTGTACATGCATAATTTACCCATGGACATACCCAAGGTCAAGTGCAATTCCTTAGTTCTGTCCTTCACTTACATCTATAAAACCACAAAAGATGGTTGAAGATGGTAGCCTGGCCACATGTTTATATCCTATCCCTACTGATACTACACTAAAATGACAGTAAAAGAATTTAAAATGGAAAAATCCATAAAGACAAAGAGAAAAGGCAAACTAACATCAGAAAAGAGAAAGGAACACATTTTTTAAAGAGAGAAAACAGATGGAAAAATGTAAATTGACTTTACAGGAAAGAGGAAGCCAAAGCCTAAAGAGCACAAGGTAACCCAGCCTACAAATGCAAGCACATAAGAGGGCTAACGAAAGGGGCCCCGGTTGTAAGTCTCATGTGCAACAGCCACGCTTCAGGCCCACTCCTTGAACTCAAGGACAGAGTATTAGCTGCCTGCATGTAGTCCCTAGACAAAAAAAAGGAGGTTTCTCACCCTGAACAACTGTATAACCGGAGAGTACAGACCAGTCACCATGATGTAAAGTTAGTCAACAAGTTCTGTCCAGGAAAGAGAACACTAATGAGCTTTTTAATGTTTTATTCAGCAAGTAAATGGACAACCAAGGTCAGAGATTTGAGGAAGACCTCAAACACAAAAAAAGACAAAATAAAATAATTCGAAAGAAAGAAATGACTCTGGAAGAAACAAATGAAGAGAAAAAAAAGAAAATTTTGTGGAAATACAAAGGTACTTCAAAAAGTTTGTAGAAAAAGACAACTAAAGATAATACAAATCTTTCCATGAACATTTTGAAGAGACTTCATACTTTTCATGTAAAAATCATAGGAGGATGCTAAGAAAATAGGAAAACTAAAACGAAAAAAATTCCATTAAAAGAGGTGGAAGATGGCAAGAGACCATTGTTTTTCAGTATTATGAGATTTTTTAAAAACCATATCCTTCATATATTAGTGTTCTTTAATTAAAGGATAAATTGCATTTATTCTCATTACTTTCTGACATCTTAACTAAAATTGTTTTTCTTTTTTTTTTTTTCCTTTTTGTCTTTTTTTCATGTCCGGCAACGGATCGCAACCCTCAGTGGCGCGCCCGTACCAGACCGGGACCGGCAACGGGATCGCAACCCTCGGTGTTGCGTCCGCACCACGCTCAGCCAGTGAGCGGCCGGTCTGTATGTGGGATCCGAACCCTCGGCGGGAGCGCCGCCGCACTCCCAAGCGGCGCACTGTAGCAGTGCGCCACCGGCCGGCCCTAAAATTGTTTTTCTTTTTTTTTTTTCCTTTTTGTCTTTTTTTCATGTCCGGCAACGGATCGCAACCCTCAGTGGCGCGCCCGTACCAGACCGGGACCGGCAACGGGATCGCAACCCTCGGTGTTGCGTCCGCACCACGCTCAGCCAGTGAGCGGCCGGTCTGTATGTGGGATCCGAACCCTCGGCGGGAGCGCCGCCGCACTCCCAAGCGGCGCACTGTAGCAGTGCGCCACCGGCCGGCCCTAAAATTGTTTTTCTTTAAAGTCTCAACCCACAAGGATAATCAGACCTAGAAAGAAAACAGAACACACACAGAAACATGCTCAAACACAGACCTACACACACTCATGTACACAGAAAGCTGGAAAGTAGATGAACAAACAAGGAGAACTAAGTAGACCAAATAAAGCAGACCTAAGCCTGCCATGAGAAAAATCTAGAAGCATCCCCTTCACCAACGAACCCCAAAGAACTCAGAACTGATAACTGAAAACTTCTGGAAGTGGGGATAAATGTGGAGGTGAGGGCTAAACACAAAAGCATTGGTTTTAAAAAGCATATAGATCCCTGAATCCCTCCACACTGCACAGCTGAGCTACAGCTCCACTCTTAAACTAACAGAAACCTGAAAGTTTATTTTTTGGAAACTGTAGCATCTCCAGTCTACAGAAACCAGGCACTGTTAAGGGAGGGCACAGCACTAAAAACAGAAGTTTTATGTAAATTTTTACAATGCTGAATCCTGAGACCCCCGGCCTTCTTCCCTTAAACAGTATTCATAAAGCTGGCAGCCATGTTTATACCCTCCATCCAGTAGAATCAAGAGACCTCTCTGGGGAGACAGAACAGCCCAAGAGAAAAGACCTAACAACCGATAGATGCCAGGAGAAACCCAAGGAAACAGCCAACCAGATCACTCTACAGGGAAGTCCAGAGTTGACAAAGCCACTCAGACACAAGAGCTTCCAAACAAGCCTTTTTGCAGTTCACTGTTACGGATGAAGAGACAACCAAAGATCACCAAACATCTGAGGCCTCTGACTTGAAAAACAGAGATCAAAACAAACAAAAAAATTAACTCAGAAGAGACAAAAGCTAAGCAGGGACAAGAAAAATGTAAAAAGAAAAAAATAAATACCACTAATATACTTAGTGAAGAAGGAGATAATATCACATCCTTTAAATACCAACCTGATACCATAAAAAGGAATGTGAAAAGGACAACCAAAAAAGTTGAAATTCAAAACTGATGGAATAATGAAAACCTCAAAAGAAGGGCTGAAAAATTAAGGAAACTTTCAGAAATGGGATGAGGGAGATAAAAGATAGGAAAAATTAAGAACATTCAAAGAATAGTCCAGAATCAGAAAAAACAGAAGAAAAAGTCACCAATGAAATCATTAAAGAAAATTTCCAGATATGAAAGCCATTATTTCCATATTAAAAAGGTTAAATGTGCAAAGCAATAGATGAAAAGAGATCCACTGACACACAGATGCTCATGCTTTAGAGAAAAAGAGGCTCACATGTAGGATCGAGAATCAGAATGGCTTTTGTTTTCTCAACAGCACTTATTCTGAAGGAAAATTATCTCTAACCTAGAATTCTACTCCCACTTAAGACTTAATTGTGAGGTAAAAAAAACATTTTTTTCAGACATTAAAGATCTACTCCACAGGCTGGACAGTTGACTCAGTTGTTAGAGTGTGCTACTAACAAACACCAAGGTAAGGGGTTCAGATCCCTGTACCAGCCAGCAGCCAAATAAGTAAATATATAAGTAAATATTTTCCAGACATTTTTTCTCAGAAGCTATGAAAAACTATACTTCACCAGAGACAGCAAATGTGGAAATGCAAAGACAGAGGATACAGAAAACAAGAAATTCAACAAAGGAGGGAGAGGAAGGGAACCCTCAAGATGATGGATAAGAAGACAGTCCAAATGGGCATCAAATGTAGAGGGCAACCTATCCAGATGGAGCATGTCAGAAGGCACTGAAAGAAATTTCTCCCAGAAGATGAAATGATTACATATCTGATATGCCTACGTGTCTTCCAAGATTAGACAATTAGAGAGGAGTTCAGGGAGGAATTAATTATAAGAATGTAGATTACCAAAAGATGAAAGAATTTAAAAACCATGTGTGGGGTTAACAGAAACTAGGAAAGACCACAGTGAACTTTTCAGAATGAATGAAATGTTCTACATCTTATTAGGGGTATAGACAACAAAGGTGTATGCATTGGTCAGAACTGACTGACCCACATATCTTACTTTATGGAAATTATACCTTATTTTTTAAAGGACAATTATGAATTTCAATAAAAACAAAAAATTGTGTAGGCAAATACAATCTAGTACACTCCGAAGCTCAGATATGAATGTCATTTACAGAACATGCAGAATTAGCACTAATCTAAACAAATTTACAATACAACATAACCACATGAAGAAGCTGGAAAGAGTGTATGAGTGTGTCTGGTGGGGGTGGGCTAGATGTGGTGAAAGAAAGCTGAATTCTCACCTTCTACAGTGAGATATCAAAAAATAACTCTTACTTGACTCAGTTGCTTAGAGCACAGTGTTATAACAACAAAGTTTAGGGTTCAGGTTCTGGCAAAAAAAGAAAAAAAAACAACAACAACAATAACAACAAAAAAGAAAATCAAGAAATAACAATAGAAGTATGCTACTGGAAGATGTGGAGGTAAATATGAAGGATATCAGCTAAAAAAGCTAAGAATAGTTGCCTCTGAAGAATGGGAAAATAGGCATGAGAAAGAGGGGATGTTGTTTTTCATAGCAAACCTTACAGAAATATTTTTCCCTCTAAATTTTTAGTATGTATGACACTGTTAAAAAAATAACTTAAAAAAATTAGCAATTAAAGAAAAATTAAGTATAATAAAATGTAAATCTGCTTGACTGAATATAAAGGAAGTCTCTACCTTTCAAACACAAAAAATATTTGGTACTTCAATATCTGTAACAAATTATTTGTGACATATTTCACAACCAATCAAGAAATCACTATGCTGTGTTGCTGCAATTGATCTCTCTAATAAAGATAAAATGTCACATGAGCTTATAGGGAGAATAAGACATTAATACCTTATAATTATAGATATGATCTTCTTCACACTCTCTAGCATACTTAAAAATAAACATACAAAGGTATGGCAACAAAAGTCCTTACAACACAGTAAGGATGATTCAAACTGCCTCCAACCACAATCACTTGGTTGACCCTGAACCTAAATACTGATGCCAGCATAGTACCAATGGCAAAGTCAAACTACAATGACAAAGCTAGAATCAAAATGGCCCACCGATAATATGGCTTGGATGAATGACAATACTACAATATAACCTATGAAGAGCTACAAAATACATGACTTCTAATTTATCTGCATTACAAACTGTGAAATAGTCCACTTTCATAGTAGAGAGGGGAAAAAGTTTAGATTAAATGTTTTGAAAAGAGGGACAAAAAATTGCTTATAAAATTTACTAAAATATATTTAAAAGATGTCATAAAATGATATTTACACAAGAAAAAAAAAGGAGTTTCCAAAAAGGACACTTAACCACTTAAAAACATAAATGTAAGTTTTGTCAATCATAAAAAAAGGTCATAATGTTAAATAAGAAAATGTTGATAGTTTTTAGAAATACACACAGAAAGAATGATGTCTGGTGTCTGCTTTAAAATACCTCAGAAAAAGAATAAAGAAAAAATAAACGAAACATGTGGCAAAATCTTAATAATTATTCAAGCAATGTGGCATAATCTTAATAGTTGAGTGCAAGGATCATTCTACTACTCCATTTTTGTGTATGCTTCAAAATAATTTTTAAAATGCTCACATCCACATCTGGTCTTTTTAGCAAATCTTCCACTTTAGCAACATCTCCATTGGCAGCAGCCTTAACTAATTCTTCATTGAGGTCACCAGATTCTTGGGTTTCAAATAATTTCTTCAGGAGTTGTGACAGTCTTTCTGTAAAGCATCAAATAAAGCTGCTAATATAGGAGGATCTCAAACCTTAACTATAAGAGACAAGTATTACCTATATTTCTATACTCTTTTCCTATTTTATTATTTCTATCATTAATGTTACTTTTTGTACTATGCTACAGATTATTACCCATGCAAGTTACAATCACTACTATACCAAGCTGCATTAAATTCAAGCCCATTTGCTTTAAAAAACTATTTTAAAAAATTTTTAAATAAATGTAAATTCAAGCCCATAAATATTCCAAGTTTTCTCCAATTCATGTATTTCAAGTTATAATTTTAGAAAAGCAGAGTTACATATTAATAATAATTCAAGATTTAGAAGTTAGAGCAAAGATGTCAGGAATGAACACACTAAGATGGGAGTACCACAATGATAGAAACTTCCTTTCAGGTTTTAAGCATACCACAGTGACTCTCAGAGCTCAACACTACAGACCTTAGAACAATTCAACAGATCAGGCTGGCCTGTTAGCTCAGTTGGTAGGGGTGTGGTGCTGATAACACCAAGGTCCAGGGTTCAACCCCTTTTCCAGCCAGCCACCAAGAAAAAAAAAAAATGGAATCAATCAATACAGAAGGAAACAAGTTCTACTCCTCAATTCTTGGAGTAGTTATTGGAAAGCAGAGAAATCACGAAGTGGGCCAAGTCCACATTATTTCAGAGTAGGACATTAACCATTCTTCATTCTGTTACTTTGTGTGTAGTCAGCCTATTGTGATGCCATCTAATCTCAGTTAAAAATAAACACTACCTGATTTAAACTTTTTAAGCACACTAGCAAATTACAGCAGGAAAGAAAAGACATAAAAAGCTGTAAAAAGCAGTACAAAAATAAAATTGGAGGTCACCTAATGTTTAATTTGTTTCTTACCATTTACAGTTACAGTTCTATCTTTTTTTCTGGATGACAACAATATACATATAGTAACTTGTAATATGCTGCAGAATGAACTGAGTACATACATAAAGCTAGAGCACAAAAGGAAAAGACTTTGGGAATAAGTCTACCCAAGCACCCAACATATTCACAATTTAATATATTTTTCTACTCATTGTGGCATGTTTAATAACTCTCATTAAATGGTAAGAGAAAAAATAGATAGCTGATATGTAAAAACATCCAGGAAGAAAGCCATCTGCGAGCAATAATGTTGAAATAAAGAACAAATAAAGCAGTCTAAGAAAGTGATGGTTCTTTGACAGAAAACAAAAGTTCTGACTAAAGAGCAGAATGTTGAATTTCAGGTATCTCAGATTTGATTAGAGAAGGCCCTGATATACCCAAGAAAAAGCACATATTTATGGAACTTTTCCAGGGAACACGTTGGCCAGAATAAAGGTTGTTCATCACATGAAAAAAGAAAAAGAAGAACCTTTCACTAAAGTTTAAAAGGTGGTCAAGTTGAGGCTACGTAATCTGGGAGAAAGCCAAGCTTTCAACATTATCTGTACAACATTATCTGTATATGAGAATTGGAGAATTAGCAATGGTTCCAATATAAACCATATTACTCTTAAAGAAACACAATACAAAACATACCACCAGATGCATTGCTAATGGCTGATCCTGCAGATGCCACCTTGGAAACTGCTGCTGGATTATATGTCCAAGATGTTCCACAAACTTCCACCTTTAAATCACTGTCTGAATAAATCTGTTGTACTCGGCCAACTTTACCTAAAGTCTTAAAAAAAAAATTAAATTCACGTTTCCAAGTCTAAAGTATATGCCATAAAAGCAATTAATCACTGTCTGAATAAATCTGTTGTACTCGGCCAACTTTACCTAAAGTCTTAAAAAAAAAAATTAAATTCACGTTTCCAAGTCTAAAGTATATGCCATAAAAGCAATTTCCAGTTTTTATATGCTTAAGTATTAATTCTACTTGTTCTTGATGAAAAAACCTTTAAAGGACAACCATATTCAAATGGGTTACTAGTTACGAACTTAAAATAATATCTTTTAAAATTTTTAATAAAACAAACTTCTATACCCCTATGAGAATATAAAAGATAAATCATGATAAAGTCTATCTTGTTCATAAAAATGTTTTGATATACAACCCTCCTTTTTTAATCTCATAAGATACTTCTTAAGAACTTGCAAGTCAAGTAGTACAAAATCCATCATCAATACAGCCTAAAATAAGAAAATCTGATTTCTTAAAAACACCACTTAAGCCAAAAAGGGCTCCAGCTTATATCTATGTTACATCCTTTCTGCAATCACCCGATTCCAAAACAGAAGTGAGTACAGACATAACACGCACATTAAACACATGGAATATGAAGGGTAGTCAGGTACAGACCACAATCAGCAGCAACAGCTCTTAACATGCAGCAGATACTGTTCTAAGAGCTTTATACATATTGACTCACCTAAAACATATGATCCTGAAGTACCAATGCTACTATTAGCTCCATTTCAAACCTAGGTCAAAATCCCAAATAACAATACTGGAAAATTGGTGAAGAAGAGCAATAATATTTGACTACTTCCTAACATAGAGGAGAGATTGTCCTTGAATGTTTTCTCCTTTGACTTCTCCATATCTGACCCCAGCTTCTTGAAACTATTTCCTTGATTTCCAGATGACAGTCTAGTCTTTCTGCCAGTTCCTTCAATTTCTCCACTGACCAACTCCTTTTCCTTCCTCAGATCCCTAAAGCTGTTCATTTTTCCCAAATTTTATTCCTTAGTTTTTACTCTTCTTCCTTAAAAATTCAATCAACTTTGACAACTATCACCTTTCCAAAAAAAAAAAAAAAAACCAAAAAACTTTTCTAGTCCTGTTTACAGCACACACACACACCCTAATTCTAATTTTTAACCTCTCCTTAGACATTTCCACCTGGAATTTCCAACCATCATCTCACACTCTGTGAGGCTACATTCTTTGTTTTTCCCTCCTAACTTTTTATTATGGAAAATTTCTACCACATACAAAAGTAGACAATATTATATTGACTCCTCATGTACCCATCTGTTGCAACAATTATCAGCTCATGACTAATCTTGTTTCATCTATTCCCCTATCCATTCTCCCTTCCTATATTATTTCAGTGTGTACCTCTAAACAATAAGAACTCTTTTTTAGGGGCTGGCCCGTGGCTCACTCGGGCGAGTGTGGTGCTGATAACACCAAGGCCATGGGTTCGGATCCCTATATAGGAATGGCCGGTTCGCTCACTGGGTGAGTGTGGTGCTGACAACACCAAGCCAAGGGTTAAGATCCCCTTACCGGTTAAAAAAAAAATAATAAGAACTCTTTTTTAAACATATCTACAATACTATTTATTATCAACTTTCCCAAAGTTATCAATAATTCTATATCACAAAATACCAGTGTTCGGGCCGGCCCGGTGGCGCACTGCTACAGTGCGCCGCTTGGGAGCGCGGCGGCACTCTCACCGAGGGTTCGGATCCCACATACAGACCAGTTCCCGCTCACTGGCTGAGCGAGGTGCGGGTGCAACACCGAGGGTTGCGATCCCATTACTGGGCCCGGTCCGGTACGGGCGCGACACTGAGGGTTGTGATCCGTTGCCGGACATGAAAAAAAAAATACCAGTGTTCAAATTTCCAATTGCCTCATAAATAATCAATTTTTTTTTTAGCTTGCTTAATTCAAATAAAGTTCATACATATTTTTTTCTTTGTAAATTATTTGTTGTGGAAACAGGGTTATTTGTCCTGTGAGGTTTCTCACAATCTGAATTTTGCTAACTGGTATAGTTTAATAAGCTCATCTTTCTGCTGCATCTGATCACTGAAAAGCCTTTCAAGTTGACTGCTAGATCCTTTTAACACAGAAATCTAGAAATCTTTAATAGCTTCCTTGTTATCTGGTATGATGCTCATCTTGTTCACTTTTTGCCAAAGAGCTAGAATTAGCCATTTCTCCAAACAGTCTAGGGTCTTTACTGAGAGAAAGGCTGTTTCAAAACCATAACCTAGGGCCGGCCCGGTGGCGCACTGGAGAGTGCGCCGCTTGGGAGCACAGCGGCGCTCCTGCTGAGGGTTCGGATCCCATGTGGAGACCGGTTCCCGCTGAGCGCAGTGCGGGCGCAACACCGAGGGTTGCAATCCCGTTGCCAATCCCCGGTACGGGAGCGACACCAAGGGTTGCGATCCCGTTACCGGTCAGTAAAAAAGACAAAAAGGAAAAAAAAAAAAAAACCCATAACCTAGGCACAAGTTTGGTTATTATTACTAGAATGGCTGCTGTTTCTAGATCTTTTAATGGATAGAAGTAGGAAAAAGGTTTTTTTTGTTGGGGGCATTTTTTGTTTTGTTTTTAAAGAAAAAATAAATCATGATTTCAAACACTCTTCCAATTCAAATTTGACAGGAGGGTCTTTACTTCACCTGTTCTATATTACATCTGTATATCCTTTTCCCATTCTGATAATTATGGTTCTCAAGGTCATTGGGGATAGCAGAGTAAGAATTATCACCTAAGCACTCATTTGTTTTTTTACCATAAACAACAATCTTAGACTAACACCATCAACACTACGATGGTAAAATAAGATTTCTGAAATCGTTAAATATTTTTTTCCCATGCAGTTCCTTAGGGTTTATTCCTCCTATAAGGATATAAAGACAAATTACTATGTTTAATAATCACTTGGAATTTCCTCTCTGTATGGATATGCCAACAGGAAACACACATTTAGTTTTATTTTCTACTATTAGGAGTCTCCTTTTTAAATATAATTTTGTTTTACAATTGTATAAAATATGTACATGGTTTCAAATCAAATCTATAAATCAAGACATATTCAAAGACATCTCCCTTCTACCCTTGCCCCTATATCATATTTCCTCTTCATATATGTAACAATTTTTAACTTCACAGTTTATCCTTCCACTGTTTGCTTTTTAATATAAAGTTTGTATTGTCCTAACAAAATTACACTAATACCTTTTTATGTATATCCTTATTCCCTCTTTTAAAAAAAAAAGCATGTGGGCCGGCCCGGTGCTGCAGTGCGCCGCTTGGGAGCGCAGCGGCGCTCCCGTCTAGGGTTCGGATCCCACATGCAGACCGGTTCCCGCTCACTGGCTGAGCGAGGTGCGGGCGCGGCACCGAGGGTTGCGATCCCGTTGCCGGTCCCGGTCCGGTGCGGGCACGACACTGAGGGTTGCGATCCGTTGCCGGACACGAAAAAAGACAAAAAGGAAAAAAAAAAAAAAAAAAAGCATGTGTAATATTGAAATTAGTCCTTCGTGTGTCTTACCCTTACTTTCTCTCTCCCTTAATACTATTATTTTGATCTAAAATAATAGTATTTAGTCCCAGTTAATATAATAACTAAAAGACAACAGCTTATTAAGCTTTTCATATGCTCTCTCTACTCCTAACCCACTTTTGACAGCTATACTTTATATTGCTAGAGCATATAATCATTCCTCTTTCCTTTATAACATCATTTAATCTTAGCTCGACAAATAAATACATACTTCCTAATCACCACCAGTCCCTCAGTGGACAGCACTCGAATCATTTTGGTTGTCTGAAACTCATTTTCTAGTAGATTACATAGAAAGGGCTCAGGGGAACAAAATTCCCTGAATTCTATTCATAGCAGTTTGTAGCCTTTACACTTGAAAGTCGGTTTGGTTTTACATAAAATCTTTACCTTACATATTCTTTCCTTGAGAATCTTAAATGTTATTTCATTGTTTTCTGGCATAAAACACTGAGATCACATTTCTTTCTTAAGAGCAAAATAATTTTCTTTCCTTTAAGCCCATAATTTGGTCTTTTTTCCTGGATACCCAAAGAATTTTTTCTCTTCTTGAAGATTCAGTTGTTTACCAGAATATGGCTCAGTGTTTGTTGTTCTGGGTCAGTTTTACCAGACATACAATAGATCCCTTCAACATTCAGCTTCAAATCCTTTTTTTTTAATTTCAGGAAAATTTTCCTGGAATTTACAACTTTAGTATTTGTTTCATTCCATTTCTTTGTGTCTTGTTTTTCCTTTTAGCAAGACTACCTAATATACATATATTGAATATTCCACATTTTTTACTTTCCCTGGAATACTTACTTTTCATCTTTTTGATTTTAAAAATTTTCCTGCTTTTTACCTTCTATTTCTCTTTAGGCATTACCTGTGGTATTTACCTGCTCTGTGTTCCTTCCAGCTTAGTTTTTATTTCTGAAATGACCTTGTTTCTTCTTTTTAATTCTTTCCTGAGTTCTATCACATCATTTCTAATTATGATTTATTTAATTCTTTAAGTAAAATCTTAAGTCTCATCATTTTTTTAAAGTCTTTTAACTCATTTTGAGATATGAGATTTTAGTTTTTTATCAGTTTCTGTGCATATCCTTCTGGTATATTTTCATTGTCTAAAGAGAATTTATTCTATTCCTTATTCTTTTTCAATAATAACTGTGAATGAAGATTTGATCCCTTCCAAGTTTTATCTGGAGCTACTCTTCCCTCTGCCCCTATTGTCTCTGTCCTACTCAGTTTTGTTTCTATTCCTAGCACTTTATTCTCGAAGTGAGTATCTGCCTTGGAATGGAGACTTTAGCTGGTTAGTTTTGAGAGTGTATAGGTCCAGGCTGACCAATTCCTTCAGACTTTAGCATGGACCTATTGCTCTCTCTCCAAATTGGAATATGCAAGAGCTCTCTCAGGTTCAGCTGCTGTTATGACATTAGTGTACCACGCTAGCCAACAAGTATTCTTTAGCTGTCTTGGAGTTCTCCTGTTCTCAAGTCCATCAGATGCCCTTTAATTCTCTCTGCTGCCATACAGATGCAGACCCAGTAACTGTCAGTGGTTTACCTCTACTTATTCATATTTTAGGGTTTAACAGGCCATTCTGTAACCTAGCTTATTATAGATGCTTGTGACTTTTTTGGTTATGCTAATCTGTTGCTTGTTTTTATGAAGAAGATTTGAGACGATTCAAAATCTACACCATCACTACTGGAATCCCAGAATTTCCCTCTAGAAATTATCTGGAGGTTTTGTTTATATAATAGTTTAATATGGCAGAAAGAGTACTTAGGCTTTGAAGACAGACAGATCTGGGTTTGAAACACCAGTTCAGAAACTTAGTTCTAATTTCCTTTGAAATAAGAATGCAATACCATCACCTACTTGCAATATTGCTAAGACAAACAGAGCTTGGATCTGCGTATGTGTGTATACATATATGTATGTCTGTGCGGTAGTTACAAAATATGACATGTCTTTGAATGAAAGCGTCATAACAACAGAGATTTTTTATTTTTCTGTTTTGCTCACTATTGTAACCCTGAAGCCTAACAGGCACATTTTACGTACTAAAATATCTGCTGAAGGAGTAAGGCAGGAACAATGGATAAACTAATGGAGGGAGAGAACAGGGAGGACAAAGAGGGACTGGACAGGATGGGAGAGAGCTAGATGGGACAAGAGTTAGGGCTGGAGAGGAAGAGAAGAAGGTGTTGGCCAAGAGAGAGGGGCTAGACAACAGAGCAGGGTGGAGACGATAGGATACTAAGAGGTACACAGGACAGGGTGGGGGCACTCAATGGGACTGGAACACGGAGACAGACAGGACAGGAGCTGAGAATGGAAGAGAGAGGAGAGGGAAGTGAGCAAAGAAGAGCACTGAACAGGAAGACATAGTGAGGGGGATGGTATACAGAACAAGGCATCATGGGTGGTAACAGGAGGAAGCAGCCAAGGACAGAAGGAAAAAAACAAGGGACATATGAGGAGAGAAAAGGATAGATGAAGAGAGGGCAAAACAAATGTTTTTGTTGTTCCTGAACATTTGATGAAAAATGTACTGAATGAATGGATAAAAAGTTAAACTGTAGTCCTTCTGGGAGCAAAGCTACTCTCCGAAGGCACATATTTTGAGTTGCTCTTTCACATTCTTAAGTTTTAGAGACCAGGCCCCAAGTCAGGAAAGCTGCAGTGGTCAGCACTGCTAGAGACTGGATGAGCACATACCTATCTCACTCTAGGGTTATGTATCAGAAAAGCTGCTGCTGCCTTACACCACATTACATTGTCTACTAACAGCTCTATCAAAAAAAAAATATTAAAATGTATCCCTTTCTGGACTTTCCCAGGCTAATTTAACAGGAATAAAGTAGAAAACAAAAAGCACAATATGCCAATGGAGAGTACAATTCTAAGAAGGTGTATGCCAATTTAGTTTCTAAAATTAATTTACTTTTAAAAACTACATAAGCAATTCCTAACCAAAACTATTTTATATACACTTACCGGAAGCATCGCTTCAGCCCATTCACCATGTCCTCTTTGTAGAAGTTTAATTCTTTCCAGATCATAACAAACTTGTACAAGATCACCCACTTGAAACTGGGAGGTGCCTCCTTCTGCACCTTGAGCAGCATCTCCACTTCGGACAATGTTTGCTTTAGTGAGAACAGCAGGATTGAAGGTCCACCTACAAGAGCAATGCCTAAACTCAAAATGGTAGGTTTACTTAATTCTGATACAACATTCTTAGTTAAACACTGCAGTGAGAAAAATCTTATAACACATCAAAAGCGTAAAGCAATCTTTTGCAATTACATCCTGAATGATTTGTATTTCTTTTTTATAACTTTATTATATAAATTTGGGAAAAGAGTCATCCATAATCTCACCACCCTAATATAAGTATTACCATTTTAGTATACTTTTGTCTAGATTTATCCTCCCTTGCATGTTTTTAAAATGTGTTATAAAAGTAATACATGATCATTGTTAAAAATTCAAACATTTCAGAAACATGTAAAAGGAAAGTTCCATTTCATACAAACACACCTGGATCACCATTCCCAGCCCACTCGAAGCCACTATTGTGTATTATGGATCTATACACTATTGTGTATCCTTACAGAACTTCTATCATTATGCTGAGTGATATCTATAATGTAGAGAGAAAGTTGTTTTACTTTTTTAAAGTACTTCCAAATTTTCACTCATACAAACAATACCATAAAGAATATCCCTGTATGTATATCTTTGTGCACATGGGGTCAGTATTACACTAGGTATTCTTAAAAGAACTACCTGATCAAAGTATATATTTATTTACAATTGTCAGAGCCAAACTACTCTACAAAGAACCATTTCCCCATATGATTCCTAGTCTCATGGATAAAAATAGTATCTAGTTTTAATTTGCCATATATGATATTTTACATTAACTGTAATAATTGGATAATCATTGTATAATCCTTCTGACTTCTTTACTTTTACTTTTTTCTTTTACTTTTACTTTTTTCATACTGTTACCATCTTCATAAGCATCATTTTAATGACTTAATATTCCATCAAATAGATGTACCCGAGTGTATAACACAATATTTCTCCTAATCCCACATTGAACTCCAAGGAAAAAAAGTTCCCTTATCAAATAAGTCTCTACAATATTGGCATATTATATCCTCTTCTCCTCAATTCAATTGATTATTAGCATATAAAAGACTCTAAGAGGTCACACCATATTAAAAAAAAATTTACTAAGTTTCTGAAACCATGCAAGTAAACTTTTCTTTCTAAAGCAACCACAAAGAGAAAAAAGTACCTCTGAACAGTTAAGAAAATCAAATACACACAGTTTTCTTTTCTGCCTTATCAACCATAGTACCCATTCCTCATTCCCAATACTCCAAAATTTACTAGACTTATTACAGTGCTAAACACAGTGGTATCTGCTCAAATTGGTCCCTACGCCTAGAGTGCTTCCCTGTCCTGGTGAAACCTAGCCCATCTTTTAAACTTACTGCAGGTGTAATTATCTCTCTCAACTTTTCTCTGATTTGCCCAGTAAAAATGACCACTCTTCTTCTGTGCACTCAGAAAACGCTGATACTTACCTACCATATTTTATAACATTTTATCATGGTTATTTCTGAGTCTGTCTATCCACACACCAAAAGGGAAATGCCTTCAAAGCATGGGACCATGTCTTCATTGTCTTTGTAACCTTAGTATTAAATCACAGGGCCTAATACAGAGTAAGTGCTTAATAAATTTTGTTGAATAAAGAACAACAACAAAAAAAAGATTATTTTCTAGAACTCAAATGTCATCCTACTGTTAACACTCTACTGCCCAAGAAAGAATTTTGAACAAGGAAGAATTCTGCAAGTATACTCCTAACTTGGGTTTAACCTAACATTCCCAAACAACAAACAAGAGAATATTTAACACAAAACATGTGTAGAGGATTAAATTATGTCCACCCCAAACTACTGAAGTTTGAATTGTCTCCCAAGTTTTATGTATTAGAAACTTAGCCCCCACTGTGACTGTTAAGAGGGTGGGAAATCCTATTATGGTAATTGAAAGGTGGAGCCATGAAGAGGTGATTGGATTGCAGGACCATGCTGTAAGGAATGGATTAAAAATGGTGGTCAGGGGTGTGGTTCTGAGGGCTTTAAAAGAAAAGGAGAGTCTATCTTTTTCTCTCTCTGCTCTCTCTGCTTCCACCATCTTGCAATGTGAGACCCCTGGGTCACTGCTGCAACCACCAGATGGACTTTGGACTTCCCAGCCTCAGAAACTGTAAGCAATAAATTTTGTTTTCTTTATAAATCACACAGTCTCAGGTATTTTGTTAAAAGCAACATAAACAGACTAATACAGAAAATTGGTAGCAGTGAAGTGCGGTGTTGCTTATAACAAATACTTGAAAATGTGGAAACAGCTTTGGAACTGGGTGTTAGGCAAAGGTTGGAGGAGTTTGGAGGACTCAGAAGAAGACAAAGGAAAGTTCGGAATGTCTCAGAGACTGGTTATATGGTGGCAAGCAGAATGCTGACAGAAATACGGACTGTAAAGACCCTTCTAAGGAGGTCTCAGATAGAAATAAGGAGTTTACTGGGGCAAAGCTCAACCTTGCTATGAACTGGCAAGGAACTTGGCTACATTACATCCAAGCCCTAGGACTTTGTTGGAACTTAAAAGTTGGGAATCAGAGTATACAGCGGAAGAGATTTCTAAGTAGCAAAGCATTAAGGAAGTTGCATGGCTACTTGTAGCAAGCCTACGCTGAGTTATGGTGGCAAAGGCACAACATAAAGCCAGAATTTAAAAGGGAAGCGGAGTGTAAAGATTTGGAAAATCTGCATTCTAGCCATGTGGTAGAAAAGCAGAGAGCATTTTCAGAAGGAAAATGCAATGGTACTAAGAAGATTAACACAAAAGTACGGGATTATCAAGAGAAGGGGTAAAAGGCCCTGAAGGCATCGCAGAAGCCTCTAGGACCAACCCTTCCATTTCAAGCCCAAAGACCTAGGGAGACAGAATGGTCTTGGGGAATAGGCTTGAGGAGCCCTCCAGAGGCTCACTGCCCAGAACCACGTTGGGAAGCTGATTTGGCTACTCCAGCTGTGGCTAAATTGGCCCCAGGTGAGCCTGGACAAGCAGCTTTGGAAAATACAAGCTGGAAGCCTTGGCAGCATCTGTGTGGTGTTAGGTCTGCAGGCTTGCAGAATGCTAGAGCAGTGAAGGCTTATGAGCCTCCACCCCAATTTCAAAGGATGTATGGAAAAGTCTGGGGGCCCAGGAAGAGATCAGTCACAGGAGCAGAGTCACCGCAGACAACCTTCACTAGAGCAATGCCAAGTGGAAACGTGGGGTCGGAGTTGCGCAGAGAAACCCCATCAGCACCATGTCTATTGGAGCCCTGAGAGCGGAACAACCATGGAGACCCCAGACCTGTGGAGCTACCTACCAGTGTGCAACACCAGTCTGCGAGAGCTAAAGCATCATCTGAGACCAGGAAAGCCATAGAAGCAGAGCTGCCAGAGGACTTTGGGACCCAACCCCCACATCAGCATGCAAAGGATGTTGAACATAGGGTCAATTTACAAGTTTCACCAGCTTTGGGTTTTAATGTCTGCCCTGCTGGGTTTTGGATTTGTTTGGGACCTGTTTCTCCTTTCTTTTGGCTTATTTCTCCCTTTTGGAAAGAGAAAATATACCCAATGTTTGTCCCACTACTGTATTTTGGAAGTAGATAACTTGTATTGATTTCACAGATGGGACTTTGAACTTTCAACTCTTGAGTTGAAACAAGTTAGGATTTTGGGGGATGAATGTATTTGCATGTGAAAAGACATGAGTTTTGTGGGGCCAGAGGTGGAATGTAGTGGATTGAATTATGTCTCCCCAAAACTATTGAAGCTTGAATTGTCTCCCAAGTTTTATGTATGAGAAACTTAGCCCCCACTGTGACTGTTAAGAGGGTGGGAAATCCTATTATGGTAATTGAAAGGTGGAGCCTTGGAGAGGTGATTGGATTGCAGGACCATGCAGTAGTGAATGGATTAAAAATGGTGGTCAGGGGTGTGGTTCTGAGGGCTTTAAAAGAAGACGAGAGTCTGTCTCTCTCTCTCTCCTCTCTCTGCTTCCACCATCTGCAATGTGAGACCCCTGGGTCCCTGTTGCCACCACCAGATGAATTTTGGACTTCCCAGCTTCAAAAATTGAAAGCAATAAATTTTGTTTTCTTTATAAATCACCCAGTCTCAGGTATTTTGTTAAAAGCAACATAAACAGATTAATACAACATGTTAGTACATGCTAAGCGGAACTTTATTATATCCTTAAGATGTCTTCCTTCTTTTTGTAGTAATGGCTTAAAATGCAATTAACATACCAATCAATTCACCCACTTAAAGTATACAATTCAGTGGTTTATAGTATACTCACAGAATTGTACTACCACCATCACTACCTAATTTCCTTTTCATTACCTCATAAAGATACCTCATAACCATTAGCAATCACTCCACTTTCAACCCCTCTCCCCAGTTCCTAAATAACTAGTAATATACTTTCTGTTCCTGAGGATTCTGCTTTTTCTGGACATTTTATACAAATAAAATCACACAATACATGACCTTTTGTGACTGGCTTCTTTTGCTCAGCACAATGTTTTCAAGATTCATCTATGCTGCAATATGTGTCAGTGCTCTATTCCCTTTTATGGACGAGTAATATTCCACTGGATGGATGTATCACATTTTGTTTATCCATTCATCAGTTGTTAGGCATTTGGGTTATTTCAACTTTTTTTGGCTCTTATAAATAATGCTTCCACAAACAATCATGTACAGGTTTTTGTGTTGACATGTTTTCAATTCTCTTGGGTATATTCCTAAGAATGGAACTTCTGGGTCACAGTGTAACTCTATGTTTAACAATTTTGAGGAACTACCAAACTTTTCCAAAGCGACATCACCATTTTACATCACTACCAGCAAAATATGAGGATTCCAATTTCTCCACACCTTCATCAACACTTATTATCTGACTTTTTGATTCTAGCCATCCTAGTGTGTGAAGTGGTATGTCACTGTAGCTTTAATTTGCATCTCCCTAGTGACTAATAGTCAAGTATCTTTTCTTGAGTGTTATGAGCTGAACTGTGTGTCCCCCCCCCCAGTATTTGGAGACAGGGGCTTTAGGAAGGTAATTAAGGTTCAATGAGATAATATAGGTGGGATCCTAACCCCTTAGGACAGGTGTCCTTCTAAGAAAGGGCATCAGAAATCTCACCAATAGTACACAGAGAAAAAAACTATAGGAGGACTCAGTCATCTACAAGCCAATAAGAAACGCCTCACCAAGTACCAGTGCTGATGGCACCTTGATCTTGGACCCCTAGCCTCAAAGTGTGAGAAAATAAACTTCTATTAAGCATCTCTATCTGTGGTATTTTGTTATGGCAGCCCTCACTGACTAATACAATGGGCTTATTGGCCATCTCTATAGCTTCTTTGGAAAAATGTCTATTCAAATCCTTTGCCCATTTTTCAATTGAGCTATCATTTATTGTTTAAGAGTTCTTTTTATATTCTCTATATAAGTCCCTTACGAATTATATAATTTGCAAATATCTTCCATGGATGTCTTTTCACTTTCTTTTTTTTGTTTAATTTATAGTTTAATTTTAAGAGTTCTTTTCTATATTCTCTATATAAGTCCCTTATTAGTTATATAATTTGCAAGTATCTTCTATGGATGTCTTTTCACTTTACTTAATATTTGTATATGGTGTGGGGTGAAGGTCCAATTCCATCTTTTTGCATGTTGATATCCAGTTGTCCCACTATCATTTGTTGAAATGACTATTCTTTCCCCATTGAAATGTCCTGGACCCTTGTCAAAAATAATAGACCTAAATGCAAGGGCTTATTTCTGGACTCAATTCTATTCAACTGATCTATATGTTTAACCTTATGTCACTAATACACTACCTTGATTACTGTAGCTTTGTGGTTAAGTTTTGAAATCAGGAAATGTGAGATCTTCAACTTTGTTTTTTTTCAAGATTGTTTTGGCTATCTAAGTCCCTTGAATTTCTATATATTTTAGGATCAGTTTGTCAATTTATGCAAAAATGGCACCAGGATTTTGATAGGGATTGTGCTGAATCTGTAGACTAGCTGGGGAAATACTACCATCTCTGGTGGGTTTAATTATGTCCCCCCCCAAAAAATATGTTGAAATCCTAATCCCAGTATCCATTAATGTGACTATCTATAAATGTAATCAATATACGATCATCGTGGATTAGGGTGGGCCCTAAATTCAATAACCAGAGTCCTTATAAGAAAATTACATAGGGCCGGCCCGGTGGCGCACTGGATAGTGCCCCGCTTGGGAAGCGCGGTGGCGCTCCCGCCCGAGGGTTCGGATCCCACATACAGACCGGTTCCCGCTCACTGGCTGAGTGAGGCACGGGAGCAACACCCAGGGTTGCAATCCCGTTGCCGGTCCCCGGTCCGGTACGGGGGCAACACTGAGGGTTGCGATCCGTTGCCGGACACGGAAAAAGACAAAAGACAAAAAAAAAAAAAAGAAAATTACATAAAGACATCCACCAGGACACAAAGATCAAGAGGGAGAAGGCCATGTGAAGACAATGGCAGAGAATAAAGAATTACACATCTACAACCCAAGGAACACCAAGGATTACTGACAACCACCAGAAGCCAAGAGAGATGCCTAAAACAGATTCTCCCTCACAGCCTCCAGAACAAATCAATCTTGCCAACACCTAGACTCTGGACTTCTAGCTTCCAAAACTGTGAAAAAATTAATTTATGTTTGTTTTTTTTTTTTTCTTTTTGTCTTTTTTCGTGACCGGCAACGGATCGCAATCCTCAGTGTCACACCCGTACCGGGCCGGGACCAGCAACGGGATCGCAACCCTTATTTTTTTTTTTTCCTTTTTGTCTTTTTTCGTGACCGGCAACGGATCGCAATCCTCAGTGTCACACCCGTACCGGGCCGGGACCAGCAACGGGATCGCAACCCTCAGTGTTGCACCCGCACCTCGCTCAGCCAGTGAGCAGCCGGTCTGTATGTGGGATCCGAACCCTCGGCGGGAGCGCCGCCATGCTCCCGAGCGGCGCACTGTAGCAGTGCGCCACCGGGCCGGCCCCAATTTATGTTGTTTTAAGCCACCCAGTTTGTGTTAATTTGTTATGACAGCCCATCTAAACAATATGAAATTTTCTGATCCAAGAACATGGGATGTTTTTTCATTTACTTAGGTCTTCCCTAATTTCTCTGAGCAATGTTCTGTAGTTTTCAATGTAGAAGTCTCGTACTTCCTTGATAAATTTATCCTTATTTTATTCTTTTTGATCCTATTGTAAATAGAACTGTTTTCTTAATTTCATTTTCAGACTGTCCATTGCTACTGTACAGAAATACAATTGATTTTCCTATATTGATCTTGTATCCTGCTGAACTCATTTAATATCTCTAATAGCTTCTCTGTGGATTCTTTAGGTTTTTCTATACACAAGATCATATCATCTGTGAACAGAGATAATTTTACATCTTCCTCTCTCTTACTTCTTACTTTAATTTCTTTTTCTTGCCTAATTGCCCTGGCTAGAACTTCTAATACAATGTTGAATTGAAGTGGAAAAACAGACATTCTTGTCTTGTTTCGGGTGTTAGAAGAAAAGTATTTGGTCCTTCACAATTAAATATGATGTTAGCTGTGGGTTTTTTCTTGATGTCCTTTATCAAGCTGAAAAAGTACCCGTCTGCTCCTTGTTTGTTTAATGTTTTTATCATGAACAAGTATTGGATTTTGTCAAATAATTTTTCTGTATCTACTGATATGATCATGTGTGCCCTTAAGAGGTGAATATAATCAGAGCTAATTCTATATTTAGGTAAGCAACTTAATGTTAATTTTTCTTAGTCTCTACAAAATCCCTCTCCCAAAGAACCTCAGAGAGTTAGTTTCTTTATTATTCAATCTAACTTTTTCTTTAAAACACTGTAAGCATACTAGTAAATGGAATATATTTTGGCCCAAGTAAATTAAAAAGCACAGGCCCAGCCTTCATGAAATTTTCAATCTAGAAATCAAAAAAGTAACTATTTTAATAGATAACAGGAGACCTAAACATGTGAATACTGTACGTATATACCAAGGAGGGTGGGAGGAGAGAGGAGGTTCCCAAAGCATATAAACTCAGTATTTATAGGATGCAGAGGAGTTAATCCAGAGAAGGAGTGAGGAGAGGAGAAAAAGGTATTCCACATGGAGGGAGAAGTACATGCAAAGACACAGAAGTGAGGAAATGCATGCATTTCTATATTGCTGATGAGGATTAGTGTGAGTATACACGTCTATGGCAAGGGGAGTGTTATTCTGGCAATATGGCCAGAAGATATACAACCCTGGAGATACGGGCCAGACGAGTTTTAATTTTCCTGTTCTCATTCAGGGTAGATTGATATGGTCCATTTTGAACAAAGAACTTTTTAGCCATACTTGGACCTAATACTAACATAATGTATCCTATTCCTAAAGGAAAAATAAAAAGTGTACAGTACATTGTATCATAAATACACTAATATAAATATACACACACACTTACCATTTGTTCCCCTCTGCCTTACCAACTTACTCTGGATTTTTATCCACTGTCTAAGAGCTAGCTTTAATGTCTTTGGTTACACCACATTATTTGCTTTAAGGCTTTTTTCTCTATATTCTAACTCTATTTGCCATTATTAAAAATTGAGAAATATCACCAACCTATTGCCACTTGGATACTGTACAACAATGTCATGATCTTCATCAATGCCACAAACAGTTCCAGTTGTAGTTAAAGTCTCAAACATTCCATCGGTCCATCCTCCATGACCATGCTGCAAAGACTGTACAATTTCTAGGTCAAGATCTATATTTACTAGATCACCAATCTGCAATCCACCAGGATTCCTGTTGCCATTCTGCTCACCTATAATTTCAGAGACAGATGAAAAAGAAAAAAAAGAGAAAGTCACAGCAACTTCATTATTTTAAACAAGAATAATATCCAGATATTTTAGTTTTAGATACCATCTAATCTTAAAGTGTTTTGAGAATTCATTATAAGATTCTAGAACCAAAGAGCTTGAAAAAAAAAAGAACAAACATCACACTCAAAAACTGAAATTATGTGATGATTTTTAACAAAGACTGAACAAGAATATAGTCTATAAAAGACTATGCAACCTTATGTCAGTACGCAAAATTCAGGGTGTTGAAAATATTCACTTTTCTGCCTGGATGACTTGTGGACCAGCACTGTACCAAAGCCACAATAACTAACTAGAGAATTTTTTTTTTTAAATGGGAATTATTTTTTTCCTCTGAAGCGCTTAGTATTATTTTTTAACAAATGATTCTTGTGATTTTAGCCTAAAGAGCATTTTTAAATATATCAAAGCCCATTCCCTAGATTACTTTCAAAAGCTAGTTCTGAGATAAAAGATTCATAATCATAAAACGGTATAACTAAGGGATCCAAATGTACATGTTAATTCCACATTTTTCTTATGAAGGCAAGACACAAAACAAGCACGTTTCTTGTTGCAAGAGAAATAAATGCACTCATCAAAAACAAGTATTTTTTCCTACATTCTTTTTTTAAAAAATTAGGGTATGCTGCAAGAAAACAGCACTTTTTGGCAAAAGGTAAATCAAATGATTTGGAAAGAGGAACATACAGTTCACATGGAAAAGGAAAGCATTCAGAGACTAAAGATTTAATCAGGAGAATGCAGTAAATGTTCATCCTGACAACAATAAAAAATTTTAAAAATTAAGATACTTTCGGTCTTTGTCTTCTTTTTTATTTTAGTGATACATGAAATCACATTTATTATATTACCTTAATCTTAGAGCTATTCTTTTATTCAAAAGGCAATTTTAGAGAAATTCTAAGGATTTATAAACACTAAATTGTCAAATCCTATCCTCAATAGCATATGAGATACAACACTGACATACTCTAACACAAAATTTTTCAACGATACGAGTTCATGGTTAAAATATAAGTTTCAAATATGTATTATGACATAAATGGCATATCAACTCTTCAGACATGACAACTTTTTCTCAGTCTAAATAAATTAAAAAGGAACAAATGCTTTAAAACCAAAATAAAATCAAAAAATATTTCTTTAGGGCCGGCCCAGTGGTGCACTGGAGAGTGCGCCGCTTGGGAGTGCGGCGGCGCTCCCGCCGAGGGTTCGGATCCCATGTGGAGACCAGTTCCCACTCACTGACTGAGCGCGGTGCGGGCGCAACACCGAGGGTTGCGATCCCCTTACCGGTCAGTAAAAAAGACAAAGAGGAAAAAAATATATATATATATTTCTTTAAATAACTTTAATGGTAATTAATTTTTTAAAAGTCCAATTTAAACATTTTACTGATTCCATGAACTGTGACCCATTATCCAGTAATTTTCTCTAATCTGCTAACTCACCTAGCACAGGGCAGTGGTCTCTGTAGAAAGAACCCCCTTTGGCATCCTGGACACACTTCAGATCAGACTAAGAAGAAGAAAAGAAACCAAAAAATCACCCATGAAAACTTCAAGTATGGCTCAATTCCTGAAATAGGCAAAAATGTTCATTCAGAACAAACACACAACAAAAGTTAAGCGTACCTCTAGGTTAACAATCACACTAAACATTGCTTTTAAACATACCTGTCAAAAACTATAAACCTAATCTTCAGATAGGTCATACTTTGTTTACTTTTAGCTTTCTTTTAAACCTCAAAATTAAAATGCCTGAATCCTGTGGAAAAGGATAGAACCAAATCTAGTCTTGATTCCTTGTCCACTTAATTTTCACATTTACATCACCTTTAGTCCTTACTTCAGAACTATAACTTGAGGGCCGGCCCAGTGGCGCACTGCTACAGTGCGCCGCTTGGGAGCATGGCGGCGCTCCCGCCGAGCGTTCGGATCCCACATACAGACCGGTTCCTGCTCACTGGCTGAGCGAGGTGCGGGTGCAACACCGAGGGTTGCGATCCCGTAGCTGGTCCCGGTCTGGTACGGGCGCGACACTGAGGGTTGCGATCCGTTGCCGGTCACGAAAAAAGAGACAAAAAGGAAAAAAAAAAAAAAAAAGAACTATAACTTGGTTAACTGAAGTTCCTTCTGACTTCTCTTTTACAAGAAAACAAACTATCATTTAAGTAACTGAATAGGGAGGCAGATATGATATAATGAAATGTGCAGAAAATGTAGACTTAGAAGAGCAATCGTGGGTTTTACTGTAAAAATTTATAAGTGGATTTACTTAAAAGTGCATAATAGTACCTGTTTCCTATTAAGGAAAGTTTACATACACACACACACACACACACACCCAACTCAAGTTTACATACACACACACACACACACACACCCAACTCTTTTACAGCCTCTTTTGCCACCAGAGCATCGTATGTTACTCAGTCCTGGCCAAAGAGACAACGGGGACACACACACACGGACACACACGGGGACACGGACACACACACGGACACACACGGGGCCACGGACACACACACACACACACACGCTTCTTTTGCCACCAGAGCATCGTATGTTACTCAGTCCTGGCCAAAGAGACAATGGGGTCAAACTGTTTTAACATGATACCTTAACCCAGCAATTCCACTTCCAAGAATCAATCCTAAGGAAATAGACCTATAATGTGCAAAGATTTATACACAAGGAGGCTTACTGACACACTGCTTGCAGCAGTAGTGGGGGGGGGGGGAGAGCCAACCCAGATACCCATCAACAGAAATCTCATTAAATAAATAATGGCCTAACCATATTAAGGAGTACTACACAGTCATCAGTCTACATATTCTACTCATTAAGTACCTGAACACATATAGCGTGTAAGCCTTCATTTGAAGGAAATTAATAATCAGTAAGAATCCTAAAAAAATTCTCAATTTGAAGGCAGGTAGAGGCATAAAGATAATAATGAATAACTGATAACCAATGCTATGTACAATGATACAAATTAGCATATAAAGTTCATTATTTGTTTAAATTCACATGGCTGGCTTTTATATATAAATAGAATAAGTAAATTAAGGGAACAGTGAGATATTGTCTCTTCTCCCTTCCTAACGAGGAACACAAAACAGTAGAGAAAAAATGATATTAAAAGAATTCTTTGGGGCCGGCCCGGTGGCGCACTGCTACAGTGCGCCACTTGGGAAGCGCAGCAGCGCTCCCGCCGAGGGTTCGGATCCCACATACAGACCGGCCACTCACTGGCTGAGCGAGGTGCGGGGGCAACACCGAGGGTTGCGATCCCGTTGCCGGTCCCGGTCCGGTACGGGCGCGACACTGAGGGTTGCGATCCGTTGCCAGTCACAAAAAAAGACAAAAAGGAAAAAAAAAAAAAAAAAGAATTCTTTGAATGAGGAATGTATTCAAAATGGGAAGGACATGAAAGGTATTAATATTTTGGCATTACTATACTCTATAAATTAAATAGTGAGGTCAAATTTGAACAATGGTCCATGAAATGCAGAAACACAGGAATCCATTGAATAAACCTCCATTTATCCTAAGCACTAAAGTAATTGTAGGTCAATCTCAATTATCAACACTACACTTTAAAAATTACAGGAGGAAAAACTCCTTAAAAATAATTTTAACACCTACTATAATTTATACTTATATCAGCTACCAGAGCATGAATACCATAAAACCTCTCATTACAGCATAATATTGTCCTCTAAGTCCATGTCAAGAAGTGGACTTACAAATGATTCTAAATCTTTTCGATAAATTTTAGTAAACAAGCCCTGTGGACTTACATTAATAAGGAATCAGCTCTACACAATCAATATATAGTAAGGTACCCAAACATTAATTGAGGGTAAAGTCATATTTACTATTAAATAGCTTACATATACAGAGTAAAAATGTAAAGGTCTTGCAAGTTTATTAAATTCTCATGTTACAGATTTCCTTCCTTTTGCATATTCGTGATTCAGATGGCTGCACTCTAACAGAAGGAGATTACAAAAGATAAAAAGAGCACAATAAGGGCTATTCTTATTTCCCTTCTTCCATCCAACGTTTTCATCTGTTATGGTTCTTCACTACTTACCATGCCCTCAAAGCCAACTCTGTAAAGGTTCTTAGCACCATTATCCCAGAGAACATAGGCTGCACTATGCGGGCTCGATGCACTCCAGTCCTGGATTTCTGTTACCTAACAAGTTTTTGAGAAAATAATTTTTTAAAAAGGGAAGGGAAGAGGTTAGTTCTTTTAATTATTATACTTAAATCTTAACAATCATTTCACCCATCAACCTGTGTAACAGAATCATGAAAACTACTTATTTGCCAAATATGTCACTTCTAACATATAATCAAATTATCATTAGAGCCACATTTTTCCAGAATTATAAGGTAATTTCTAAAAACCATTGTAGAAATTTTAAATTAGGAGGCTTAGGTATTACAGTAATAGAGTATCAGAAAATAATAATTTGATACAAAATTTAAAGACTTTGTATTCTTAAAGGGCTTCTTTTAAGAACAGCATATTCTTTTAAGACCATTACTCCATACAAAATTTAAAATCTTTAAGCACATACCCAAAATGATTCAAGATAAACCTGTTCTCTGGTCTGCTAAAAAATGACAAGCTATGGGGCTGGCCCGTGGCTCACTTGGGAGAGTGTGGTACTGATAACACCAAGGCCATGGGTTTAGATCCCTATATAGGGATGGCCGGTGCGCTCACTGGCTGAGCATGGTGCACACCACACCATGCCGAGGGTTGCGATCCCCTTACTGGTCAAAAAAAAAAAAAAAGAATGACAGGCTGACGTTAAATATAATTTTAAAGGCATAAGCTTAAAAACAGCCTATTACTTTAAATAAGATGACCTTTCTTTTTTATCCTGTACTAAAGAAATAGTTTTGTTAAGCCAGGTTTTATGTTTAAGATCTAATGCGTCATTTGAGAAATATTTTAAATTGTTAGCAAATAAGGCAATAAATTATTTCAAATTTTGAAATACACTATACATTATAAAAATATAGCACATATAAATTTTAAAGAATAAAAAAATAAAATGGACACCATGTAATTATTACCCAGCCTAAGAAAAAAATATTACCAATACTTAAGTCCCTCATGTACAGCTCATCAGTCCTTATCCTCCTGCCCCCAAGAGGTAACTACCATCCTGAATTGAGATCCCTCATTGCTTTGCTTTGTGATTTTTGCTCATTACCACCATATAATCTTACAAAGCAACAGTTTCTAATACTCTAAAGTGAAATGTTCCATCTTTAGCAAAAAATTCCTTCTGATTCTAGCATAGATTCTATTTTATTTGTTTCAAGAAAATATATGATTCTATATTAAATAAGCCTGTATTTTTTTTTTCCTTTTTGTCTTTTTTCGTGTCCGGCAACGGATCGCAACCCTCAGTGTCGCACCCGTACCGGACTGGGACCGGCAACGGGATCGCAACCCTCGGCGTCGCACCCGCACCTCGCTCAGCCAGTGAGCGGGAACCAGTCTGTATGTGGGATCCGAACCCTCGGCGGGAGCGCTGCCACACTCCCAAGCAGTGCACTGTAGCAGTGCGCCACCAGGCCGGCCCAATAAGCCTGTATTTTTATAAGGGAAACAAAAAAGCATTTGCCTAGCTAAGAAACAGAGACAAATTTTATTTAAATCAAATTCACCCTAAATTTCAAATTACTTGAGATAGAAGCAAGTTCATTAGTAAAGCTCTGAATCTTTAAATTAAATTCCTTCACTTGTTAATATGATTTGATTTGTTACTGAAGGGGAACAAAGTAGAAGAAATAAGAAAATAACTACAGAAATTTCATATTTTCAATTCTGGTTAAGAAATATGTATAGAATGGCTGCTAAAACTGTAAGGTATAGTGTTGAGAAATCCATATGGGGCCGGCCCGGTGGCGCACTGCGCTAGTGCGCCGCTTGGGAAGCGCGGCTGCGCTCCCGCCGAGGGTTCGGATCCCACATACAGACCGGTTCCCGCTCACTGGCTGAGCGAGGCGCGGGAGCAACACCGGGGGTTGCGATCCCGTTGCCGGTCCCAGTCCGGTACGGGTGCGACACTGAGGGTTGCGATCCGTTGCCGGACACGGAAAAAGACAAAAAAAAAAAAAAAAAAAAAAAAACCC